GTGTTAATGTGATTTTGGTATGAAGAAGGAAAAAACCTTCAAATAAGTCCAAGTTCTGTAACTCCAGTCCACACCTCAACACACACACACACACACGTTGTCTCTTTCTTAGAGGCAGCCGTAGGTCTCAGTCGCTGCGAGAGCTCACCTTTTTACACTGTCTGCCCAATCCCACCCACCTCTGTCTGCTCATTCCCCCGTCCTCCCCGTTAGCCTCTGTCTCACTGCCTTTTTATTCTCATTATCTCCAGCTCTGTCTCAGTCCCTCCTTTTCTCACTCTGTCACTTTGCCTCTGCCTGCCTCTGTCATTATTCTGCCCACATGTCTAGACTGAAGAGAAAACTTTTACAGTTTGCATGTGGAATATCAGTGTATGTGTGTGTGTTCTTGAGTGCTTCAGGTCTAAGTTCAGTCTGCCTTTCAGTTTAAGAGAGGATTCAGACTGAGAGGTGGACCTGCTGAATGTGAAGACTCGCTATATGAAGGATTCTCATAATCTAAAGCGGCAAAAAGACCATCAGGACCGTTTCTATTACAGTACTTAAGGTAAATGAGCGTCTTTGTATGAGACACTGAATGATTGTACCATTCTATATTCTATAAAGGCAAGATAGAAGTAGTGACTGTTATAAGATTGTAAAACTTTTATGTTATTGAGTAGGGATGGAACAAAGCTGCATATCACGATAAAAGCTTCAAGTTACGATTTTCTACTGTTTTTATAAAGAAATGAAATTGAATTATTAATACATATATTTCTTTTATTCCTATTCTCTGCTGATAAAAATACAAAATATCCTTCTTCCTATTAGATATATTCAGTCATTTTTAATTTTACTTTTAAAACAATACATATATTGACTATAAAATAAGTGAATTTTATTAACTTTATGTCATCTAACTTAAGTTTTTTAATTCATGCTTTGAATAAATAGTTATGTGTTAATCCCCATCTTTATCATCATCGCAAGGGGGGTTCAAATCCACTTCCCATGACGGGGCTTGGTTTCAGCACCAGGAGCTGTCTACCGTCTGCAGCGCCGCTCGCTCTCTGTTCCATAGCGGGAAGGTTTTGTGTCCGTCACTGATTGTCACGGCGTTGTCGTGAAGAAAATAATTCATGAAATAAAGGTCACAATCAAAATAATGTTGCGGGCCACTTGCCAAACACTGATTCACAAACACATTTGAAATAGAAGAAGAAGATTTACTCTATTGATCCCTGCAAGGGAAATGCTGTGTTTACACTCTGTTAATGAGTCATGCTACACACACACAGGCTGAAATATACACATGCACAAACAGGATGCTGTGCACATGCACTAATGGAGAGATGTCAGAGTGAGGGAGCTGACCTGAGCTGGTGGTGGGGGGAGTTTGTTGTTGTTGCCTTGCTCAGGAGGTGATCTGGCACCTCTCCAGCTACCAGTCCGACTTCCAGATTTGATCCGCACCGGGACCGATCGAACCGGCGACCCTCCGGTTCCCAACTGAAGTCCCTACAGACTGAGCGACTGCCGCTCAGGGTGACGTCATAATACCGCATATTGAGCCATCCGTGGTGGGAATTCACCGCGATAGCCCTGGTCAGAGAGTCTGGTGCTGCAAACATTGCAGACCAAGGAAGAGCCACTCCATAAAAACCAACAAGGCCTGATTTTAAACCCCTTCTGCTCAATGATCTGTAAATTAAATAAACTTATCTCCACTCTTTATTGTTACCTGGCACCCCTAAACACTATATTAAACCCTTATAGATTGAATGTACTTAAAGCGTACTTTGCAGTTTATTGACATTTAAAGAGTAAGTCAAACTCTCCCAGTAGAAACTAAATCTTGGGATCTCTCTATTCTTCACTCTTCATATAGTTAATTGGTCATGGCCTCTTTGATTTCTCTTTTTATTCTCTACTTTTCTCTACTTTTATCTGAGAGATAATAGCTAAGTGCACATTTGGACCCATTTACCCCCATCTTTTTGAAACTGCATTTAGCATAAAGCCTTCTTTATTCCATGCAAGTCAGTCAATGGACATGTGCATAAATCAGTTTTTAACATTCTGGGGTGACTTTTAAATGGGATCACTTCTACATTTCATGAAACTAAAAGCATCTTTTAAAGCATATTTTAGGGGTGCGCTGGTGGCGCAGTGGTTAGGGCGCGCGTCCCACGTGTTGAGACCCTCATCTCGAGCGGTAGGCCCAGGTTCACTTCCACCCGTGGCCCCCCTCCGCATGTCATTCCCCGCTCTCTCTCCCTTGTTTCCGACTCTATCCACTGTCCTCTCTCTGCGTTAAAGGCACGAAAAGCCCAAAATAAATCTTTAAAGCACATTTTAGCTGCTACACTTTCTTAGTTGTGTTTTTTAGTTACATTTAATTTAGCCACGTCCACTCAGTGTTTGAATGACATTTTCAAGAAGCCATTCTGCTCGGATTTGTTATTTTGCTGAAATGTGCCATGACATGACATTTTTTTGCTCGAAGGAATACCCTGACATTTTGGATATTTTTTTTCCAGTTTTTCTTATTTCTTTCTTCAATACGCTGTGACAAAAGGTGTGTGTTCTGACACTTTAGTTAAGTCATTTCATGCGTGACTCCAGCCTGCAGCTAGCTTCACTCATTGTTTTGAATGGGAAAAAGAAAACGGTGCTAACAGTGTTGTTAGGGCTGCTGAGGGATGTAGACATCTTTTCCCCGAGTTTATCAGACGCCTGGCAATGCACAATGTATAACAGATAGCCCACAGGTGAGATATGTCATTTCAAAGTTTGATGCAAGTTGAGCAATAAAGCACATGGGAGTGAATCAAAGGACCAAAGACAATTCTCAACCATAAATCACAACTTCGATTCAGTAAAAACTGAGAAGATTCTATACAGGGCACGCAATGCACGAGATCAGACAACACAATGTTTTTGCCTGTTATGATGTCACTGTTTCAGACTAGGCGGTCACAGAGCCATAAATGCCGTGACTTGACAGACAGACATGACAGACTACAATCTGGTACCAGAAATTGCGCGACCAAAGCGATGACGTTGGAAGGAAAAGGAGCTGGGCTCTCTGTCTCACAGTTCCATCTTGCAGCATTAACTTCATCATTCTACTCTCGCTTCACTATTTTGTTTACGCTTGTGACGCTACGCTCTGTGCTCTTATTGGCCAACGCATCAGAGACGGCAGGAAAATTAAGAATAATGCATAACTTTCTGTCCGGAGGTCTTCCAGCGTCCCAAATGTTGCCTTGGTTGTCATTCACTATGACGCACTACAAAGGATAAAGCAATAGAGTTTTCAGGGACAGCAGATCCCCAAAGCATACGTCTGCTGGATCAGGCTAGAATCATGCTAATAACTTTTAGTCAGTCATCAGTATCCAAGTGTCTAGTAGGAGTGTAAAGACCGAGCATGGATGTATCAGTGCATACAATGTCAGAATATTTGTATAGGCCTAGTCTTTTGTCTCTTGGACAACAAATATAATAACACAAGAACATTTTGAATAACATATACAAATGTGCATCTGATGGCTTCCCAGAAACCCCACAGAAACGTTCTGTATTTGAATGAGACGTCCCTGAACTGGCTCCTACTGCAGTGGTTCCCGAAGTGGAGGTCATAAGATGCCTTCCAAAAACACAAACAGATATTTAGAATGATGTAAAATTAAATATTTTACCCATTGTTGTGAAAATAGATACTCAGAAGTTGTTCAATTTAAAAACCATTTAATAAGATTTAGAGTGAAATCACAGCAAAGTGTAAAAAGTTTTTTTTTTAAATGTAAGTTTGAACATGACTGCCACAATGTAGGTGTTTGTTGGTGTTTCCACTTAAAAACACACACAGACATCACCTGTGTGTCTGTTTATAACATTGTGTATGTCCACTCAGTGCTCCAGCACATACATGGAGATTACTCGTCTTTCTTAATTTTTAGAACAAAATCATGTTTTTTTAGGATGCTCTGTTCTTTAGTGTTGTTCTAATGCCAGTGTGTACGTGTGCACAATGTTATATGCTTTAACCATCTCCAAGGACAGTGGGAGTCCCCGTGGGGATCCCCATGGGGTTGCTGGCCAACTGTATGAATCAGGACTGTATTTCTGGTTATTTTTGATTATTCATTGTTTCTCACAGTTTAGGCTTATTAATTAAGGATCAGGTAAAGATATCCAGTGTATTACAAGTCTTAATGGTGTGTTCCAACTAAAACAGGGGTCCGGTCGCCTGTTCTGTTTTGAAGTGTGAATCCAAGTTGACAAAATACCTGTCGTCTCTCTTACCAAACTTTTAGCTCTCTCCCTGTATTGGCAGTCAGCAGGGACAAGCATGGCATTGTATCTCATTGCATCTCATTGTATTCAGTGCTGACTGACACTTTCTCCAATTATGATGACAAGCATTTCTAGAAGCAGACAAGTGATAACATTATTAACATCGTGGCTGAATTGAAACGTCTTTTCAATGATTTGTGTCTGTTTTATTTAAAACCACTTTTACTGATCACAGCACGTTACTTTCAAGTGAATCTGTTTAACTGGCTCACGTAGAGCTTTACAAGGTTACCAGCTTAACACTTTTTGATCAGGACTTCTCTTGTTTAGTGCTAGTAGCTTGTAAAAAAAAAAAAAGTTAATGTATTAGTAGAAATAAGTGTCTGTAATGTTATGTTAGGCTATTGAACCTCTAGCTGGTGTGAACATTCAGACACATGGATCCAAAAGCCTTTTAACCATCGAGTACAAGATCGAGTGGATGGATGGACGGATGACTTGGGAGTTGGAATGGCCACACCTGGCCCTTACTGCCCATGACCTGCAAACTCCCTCCTTACTTCGATGTATAGGATTCCTGTAACCCAAAGTGTAATGCTTCATTATATAGTATTGTGTTCCTTTCTTTTTATAATTCTTACCAAACGTACTATTATGTCACAACAGTTTGGCAGATGACAATTCAACTTCTTTTATTTGTTCCATTCAACTTCCAGGGCTCAACCAGGCACGGCGTGATTGAGGGACTGTGACGGATGCACAGGATGCCAGTTTGAGTCCAGTTTGACAAACAGGAAGTAATCGATCTCCAACCACATTTTCTAGGTGAGTAAGTCCGACTTCAATTTAGTACCATTGCAGTTGGACTAATATACAGTATTTACAGTGTTCCTGTCCTGCTGACAGCCTGTTTACGAGTGACATTGGCCGGATCTGTCCCTCAGCCACACAGACAGGAGTGTGTTCCCATGCTGTGCGGTTTGCAATGTGGTCTACACACTCAGACAGGACACTGATGAGAAACCTGACCTTCACTACGTTAGAGGTGGTGTGTGTGTGTGTGTGTGTGTGTGTGTGTGTGTGTGTGTGTGTGTGTGTGTGTGTGTGTGTGTGTGTGTGTGTGTGTGTGTGTGTGTGTGTGTGTGTGTGTGTGTAGAGATGACAGCACAGTGTGTTATAGTACTTACTTGTCAGATATAAGGCGAGGGTGGGAATGGACTTATAATAAGTCTGCACAGAAGGATGATGAAGTGTGTGTGTGTGTGTGTGTGTGTGTGTGTGTGTGTGTGTGTGTGTGTGTGTGTGTGTGTGTGTGTGTGTGTGTGTGTGTGTGTGTGTGTGTGTGTGTGTGTGTGTGTGTGTGTGTGTGTGTGCCTCCCTGCTTGCCTGCACATCAGTTCTCAGGTCAGCAGTTTAGGTCTCTCACCAAACTCCACTCCAGGCTGTTGTGAACGGTCTGTCTGACTAAGATTCGAATGTGTTTGTCTGATCTACATTTAGTTTTTTATTCAGTTTAGGAAGTGGAAGTAGGAATATGCCATCATATTTTCTTTCTGAAGTAAATACATAAACACATCCCCTGGCAGTTGAGTAAAATACTGGGGGGCCATGCTAACACTAAACAGGAAGAGAAAGCTTTTGGAAGTATTAAACCTAAAGCGCCAAAGTTCTGCCCACAAACACAAGAATGTGAAATATCTAACCGGACAATGAAAGAGCATCAGGAGAGGAGTGCTGCACACCATTTTCATTGCTAACCATATCCAACTTTCTTTGGTCGCCATATTAGTACAGCTACCTCACTAGCTTTGGCTTGTGAAAGACTCTAAGATTAGCTTTTTTTCTTTATGCATTTGATATTTGATTGCTGTTTGGATGGAAGGAGAATTTCTACAAATACGCAAAAATATTTAATTTTTTTACTGACTCAAGCTTAAAAAAACTCTAAATCAAAATGACCTTTTATTTATTTCCACATGCTCTTTTGTTAAAATGCTTAAAAGTCTTGTTTACATCATAACTTGACTATATGTATACAACATGGACGTTTTCTCAGTGAGGTGTTTTGAAGCCGAACGATCTCCACCAAACTTTTGATCAATCCAGAAACAGGTATAAAGGTGGACAGAGGTTGGCCTGAAGCCTTCGGGCAAACGGCTACAACTAAAAAACTTAAAAAGGCCACTCGTGCTACATGGTCGCTGGGCATCTAGCGAGGCTGGTTTATGAGTTTGGGTTAATAACGCTGCACTGTAGTTCCACTTTTAGCTAGTAGCTTCTCGCCCTTCTCAAAGAAACAATTTAGAAAAGTTTGCAGGACTTAAGTGACAGTTGAGGGAACTTTTAACCCTGTCGTCTCAAATGTGACACCGTCCAGGTTAGCTTGTTGGCTAGGAAGAATAAACCCTTTTTTATGCTAAATAAATATGGAAGTCAGCAAGATGAGAAATTAAAGTGATTTGGGGCTAAATGGTTATGAAAAGAAGAACGGGCTTTAAATAAAAATGTTTTTTAATGAAAAAAGATATTAATCAAATTGTATTTCTTTTGAGTTTTACTTTTTCTCAAAAACTTCTCACCTTTGATTATCTACTTCACGTTTTCTTGATTGAGCACTCTTCTAAATGAAAGAATCTGCCTTTAAAACGGGGACTTTAAGAGTCCTAAATCCAAAACTGTGCATTTTAAATCCAGACTTCCTGTGGTATGGGAACACTTCCAGCAGAAATTCATATGGCTCCCTCTTGTGCACAGTATGAATACAGACTACCATTGTTCCCTCCTCAAAAAAACAACACCTGCTGTGACAAAGCACTGCAAGTTCTGCTTTCTTTGATCAGCCTTATCAACAAGACCACCTAGAGGATTGTATTCTAACGTTGATGAGCAGCCTCAGTGTGTGTGCACATATATATCAGCATGTGTTTTCTTCCTAGATGTGTCAGATGCATTGTTCCCTAAGTGTGTTGTTCACGACGGTTATTGATGGAGTAATCCACAGATCATCGAATGATAGAAATCACCTCCAATTGCGTCAGAATCAGCTTTAAGCCGAGTTTTAAGAAAACATGTAATTTATCTGGGTAGTCTTTATTAAAAAAATGATCTGAAAATAAAAAGTCATGAAGAAGAATGACTTCAAACTAAGTAAATTATTGACATAACTCACTCCTATCCTCCCCCCCCCCCTTACACAGCGTCCTTTAATTAGCAGTTGTCAAAGCATGCAGCACGGTTATGACACCAAACTATTATAGGAAGAATTATGACAGATGCTGTCAATCTTGGAGTGTTAGAATAAACACACCCTTCATCATGTAATAAATATCATCATTTACTGTAAGCCTCTTTGATTTATAACTTTGCCTCGTGGCTATGTCTGTGAGCTTTGTAATGCCGGGCTTGTCGAGAGGATTTAACAGCAACCTGTAACATCCCTGAGCAAGTGTTTTAAGCTCCTTGTTGTGAGAGAAAAGATATATATTTAAATATTTATTCAGAGAATTCTTAACATATCTGACTTTGATTATTTACATGTTGAAAACTAAAGATAGATTTTGGCTGATTTAAACATTGAAGAAAGAACAAAAAGAATCCCCCTTCCCTCACATGCTGTAGGTATGTCCAGGTATGTCTTTATTTCTGTTAAGGAAATACCTCAGACATGTTTATGTGATTGATAAAATGTTCTTTTATCATCAGGGAGCAAACAGCTCAGGTGACTGCTTCTCTTGGTTTTTCAAGTATTCTTCCTCCTCTTCTTCTTCCTTGCTCTTTTCTTCTTCATGTTAACCAGAATGTGAGCTTCAGCAGATTGGTTGGTCATTGCTGGAGTCATCAAACTCTCCAGTGGATCTGGATGAAGCTCACACTTTCTCTGATGTTTTTCTTCATAGCTGACCCTAGTTCACATTCTAACTTAACATGCACTAACAGTCATCTCACATCCACACGAGGCAGCTCAACATAATCACCATGTGCCCTTAGAGGGGGCCAAGGGGGACGTTGTGATGCAAATTGGGCATTTTAAACATACTCAAGAATTGCTTTTATTTAACATACCTATCATCAACTCAGAGGTATTTCCATGATACGCAACTTTCACTCCAGATATCTTCCATTGCACGTCACCGTTGTCTTCTTCATCAAATAACCTCCAGTCATTACTTTTCCTGGTCATGGCTGACGTTGTGCTTGTTTGACAGACTGTACTGTGTTTGTTCTGCACTCTCACCTTATTCCCTTGACATTCCCTCGCTGGCCTGCGCTCACACTGCTCCAGGACTAACCGGGCCTAAGCGCGGTTACCTCTAGTACATGATGTCGTAATACAACACATGGATGGCTTTGCGTAATTATGAAGCGTGCTTTGTTTACAAGAGAGGCGGACTTGAAAATAAGAAAATAAAAGCGACGCAGAGCTGAGTCTGTGTCCGCACATCGGAAACAACACAGAGAACATGACAGTTACTTTAATGACTTCATGGTTTATTTTGAGTCCTTTCAGTCAGATACGGCCACAACACTCACACATAATATAATGAAGGCCGTTCACGTTGTGCACCCGCGCTTGTGCTCGTGCATGAACTGTACCTGCCGAAGCACACCTCTTCAAAGCGTGCCAGGGCAAAGGAAGTGTGTCGTGTTTGAGCATGGATTGGAGCGCTCACACTAGTCAAACGAACTGGACTTTCGGGGTGGAGTGTGATTAGGCACGGTACAGATTGCCTAGTGTGAGTGCGCCCTAAAACATGCATGTGCAAGTAGTGCAACATTAAACGAATAATGACATCTGCTACAAGTACTCGTACCCAATCCTTACACAGACAGTAGAGAAAATGTGACTAGGTTGTTAAATTCGCAAAAATAATGTCAGTGACTGTAGATTAATTTGAAGAACTTTGAAGAAAGTCTCTGTTTTTTTATCTCTCATTTCTCTAAGAAACTACTACCTCCCCTTAAACCTTGCAAACACACACACACACACACACACACACACACACACACACACACACACACCAATAAGAACCCTACCTCTTCCTTTTATCGTGTCCTGCTGTGAGCTGATGAGTTGACATGAGTCACTATCAGATGTAATCAGATTCTTAGATGGGTTCTTCTTTCCCACACACACGTACACATGGCACACAATAACACACACACACACACACACACACACACACACACACACATGTTTACACATACTGACTCATCACTTCATAGAAACCGCAGAATATCTCACAATGGGTTCATTGTGCTTGTGGGTGTTGTAGTTACTTGGATGTTGGGGGGGGTTGTCAGGTGTGTTCTGTAAGCAAAATGCAACACATGTCTTACACACACACACACACACACACACATGCAAAAGTAAGTTTGTGCTGTGAGTAGATCGTCTCACTTATAAGTGTGTTATTAGTGCCCTGTTTAAGGTGGACAGAACAAAGAAATGAAAAGAATAAATGAAGGAATGACACACCTCATGTAAAACCGTAAAACAAACCACCACATTCCTCGGTTCTACACTTTATTTTCTCTCCTTTCACACAGTCAGCCCCACCCTGTTCTCTGGCTGGCCTCGCACAGTACGAGGGGAGAGCAGAGAAGAAAAGATAAGCAAGAGGAGGGGAAGATGGAAGGAGAGACGCAGCCACGCACAGAGAAAACAGACAGGCAGAGATATTAGATGGAAAGAGAGCCGTAAAGAGAGAGAGAGAGAGAGAGAGAGAGAGAGAGAAAGATAAGCAGAGTCAGAAAGAGAGAGAGAGAGAGAGAGAGGTGGAGGGAGGTGTGGAGACGGAGCCCTGTTTGGACTCCAACAGATGGTC